CCTCTCTGTTCAGTTTCGTCTTTGATTGGATATGATGGACATTTAACCATTAAAAAATCATCCAAGCAGTGATTTTTTTCTTTTTTGGTTTTCCCGTATTTATTTTGTTTTTTGTCTCGTTTCATGTTAGGGCGCAAACATTTAACTTGTAGGGTCATAGAAATGGCCTTTTTATGGTGCCTAATTTTTGAAAAAGATACATTTATACAAAATGACAAATTTGAAAGGAAAATTTATAATAATCCGTGCATTTCAAATTTTTAAGATTAAAATATTTCAAGCATTTAAAAAAATGAATGCCTGTGTTTTCCCTTTGGTTGGTTCAAAGATCTACCGATGATCAACTTGCAGATCTCGTTCTGAAAATGCGTGAAATATTTTACGCTGGACGTTCAGCAACGAGCAATACATGAATTATTTTAGGTTAAAATTTTTGAAAATTTATTTTACGTGTGAAAAAAACGAATTATAATTCGAATATTTGCAACTGAGACTACATTAATATATATGTTTTTTTTTTATTTATTTATGAATTGATTTGTCTATGAACTTTTCACAGCCCTGGTCTATCCTACAGTTAATTCATCGATTGAATTGGGTGCATTTCTTAATATAAAACCTATTTATTTGAAATTATTTTTTGTTAAAGCATTTTTGTGTATATTAAATATATATGTAAAAAAACATTATGAGCAATTTCGTTGAACGATTGAGTTTTCATTGCATAAGCATAATCACACGAAAGAAATGCGTTTGCATAAAAATGCGTCCTTTTGCGCAAAACTCATCTGCGTCGATAATACGTTTTTGGACTAGATATGTAGTCCTTGCCGAAGTAAATAAGCATTAGAGAATTTTATTCAGCAAGCTATCAGATGTGGCGACAAATAATATATCAAGGAGAAGACATTGGAAATAATATCTACACAAAGATAAATTCTTCAAATACTGACTGAAGGCCATATTTATTGTTTTTATTTCGACCTAGGACATCGTTTCTTTAAGGACTATCATAAAACCATCCTAAGACACCTATGTATATACATGTATCATAACGATAGGACTAAATTTAGGACAAATCTTATCTTAGGAGACTTTCGTTAACCTGTTTTAGGACTAGGACGTGCCCTAAGATCACCCTCAGACACGTCCTAGTCCTAAGATAGCTTCGTTGACACGGCACCAGTGAAGCTTGGTTTTCGAAAGTATCATAAGATATATCTTGCTTCAAATTTTATGACCATCCTATGACTATCATATGATATGTCATAGAATGTAAATCAAAGCTGTCCTAAGATAGTCATATCTATGATGCTCTTATGACTGTTATAAGTGAACATAACTTATTTTATTTTAGATAATGGTTTATTCATTTACGTGAAATTACAAATGAACAATTTAATTTATCAAATAGATAGATAAATATAAAATACTGAGGATCTTCGATTTTTGTCTCATAAATGTATTTAGAAAAAAAAGAGAAAACAATTCAAAACTGTTTCAACTAAATGATCAACTTCTTAAGATACTTTCATACGAGGTTCTATTTCTTTAAATTTGAAATAAAATTATGTCAGAGTTTCGCCTGTTCTGATTTACGACTAGCAAATTAAAAAGGAAAGGTGTTACCTTTTGAAGAACTAGAAACCGCAATACAGGTGTCCGACAATTAAATAGTTGATATTCGTAATGAGACGACAAAGAAAAGGCGATACATATAAAATAGGTGAAAATCCTTAAAATAAAAAGTTACAAAATTCTTATACAGTAAAGGAGATTTAATGAATGGTGTTCTTTTACATGAACGTTTAATTTATTTTTATTGTATGTTAACAGGATTACCACGTGTGCGTCAATTTGTAAGGTAGAATCTATGTAAATATTGGGTATTGTTGAGATAATCCCAAATTACCACTTAGGACAAAACGCTAGGCTTAACACCTGTCCTTACACAAGAAGTTCCCATGTATTTACCGTTAGATGGCGGATTGACGGCATTTTTTATGTAGAAAAAAATACCGTTATATGTACATACATGTATTTGATGAATAGTTTAGATTTACTAAAAATAATAATGAATGGACATTCGTGCTTCTTATTCTGTTGATACAATGCATAGAATGACAATATATATCTTATATAATAGGTCTGACTTATAAAAGTAAATTCTAATAATCTGTAACAAGTGAATTTGTTTTGTTTCACAGATGACAAAATGTGTATTTTTCAAAAACAAAAAAACAACAACCCGCAAAGTCAAGGGACTTCATTATTTTGTTGATACCATAAAGAAATCCGCATCAAACTATTGCACATTCATATTTTCTGGAAGTATGCATGGTTATAGTTTTTAAGTAAATTTTTTAATCTAAATTTCCTACAAAAATAATTTGTTTAGGGTGAGAAGGAATTTGTTTTGTTTCACAGATAACCAAATGTGTATTTTCCAAAAAAAAAAAAAAAAAAAACCCCGCAAAGTCAAGGGACTTCATTATTTTGTTGATACCAGAAAGAAATCCGCATCAAACTATTGCACATTCATATTTTCTGGAAGTACTCATGGTTATAGTTTTTAAGTAAAATTTTTAATCTAAATTTGTTACAAAAATGATTTGTTTAGGGTGAGAAGGAATTTGTTTTGTTTCACAGATAACCAAATGTGTATTTTCCAAAAACAAAAAAACAAAAAAAAAAAAACCCGCAAAGTCAAGGGACTTCATTATTTTGTTGATACCAGAAAGAAATCCGCATCAAACTAATGCACATTCATATTTTCTGGAAGTCTGGTTTTTGGTTTTTAAGTAGATTTTTGAATCTAAATTTCTTACAAAAATAGTTTGTTTAAGGCGAAAAGGGGAAAATAATAGTTTGTTTCTATTTAAAGCAAGTAAAAATAAATAAATACGACATAGCATTTTATAAAACATATTTGGTCCGGTATGTTACTGACAAAATAGTTTGTTTCCAGATTAAAGTAACAAACGTTTGTAACGAGAAAAAAAATGTCACCCCTTCCAAAAAACACAAAAGAGGAATGGTCGATGACTAAAAGGATGACTCAGATTGATTTATTTTGCAATGTTCTATTCCTTCGTGTCATTGCTTTAAAGGATGACGTGACTTATACTGTTACCGTTTTCTCTACAATAAATATAATTCTATATGCATTTCAGCAGTGTTCATTGTGCAATATTTTCAATATGGCTAGTTAGAGACTACAATAACAGAAAGTTCGTTATTGCAGCATACATGTATTTCAGATCTTTTAAATGTTCTTATAAATTATCATATTGCAGACGTGGACCATTTTTTCTTTCTTTAATTCCGTTGTTCATTTTTAAAGGAAATTTAAATTTCTTTGATATTTTGATTTTTTGCTCTGATCCATACGTCGACCTTACAAAAACAGTAGTTTTTACGTGCTGCTCCTCTATTCTTAATTCCCTGTATGTTTTATGTTAGTTGGTTTATTTGCGCTTCTTGTCGATCTGAAGATTCAAGCCATTTCCAACTGATTTTTACAGTTTGTTCTTATGCTGTGCTGTTACATCACTGTCACCGTTAATGGGAGAGCCGAGCGCTCACAAACATGTTGAACCCCGCCGCATTCTTTATGTGATATTCTGTAATTCAGTGGTTACTGTCTGCTATGTCTGCTTTTCGTTTGTTTTGGTATAAATCAGGCCATTTCCTATTACCTTTGAATTGTTTCACATTTTGTCATATCAGGACCTATATAGCTGACTATACGGTATAGGTTTGGCTTACTAGTCTTGTTGGACCTATAATTCCTTTCAAGCTGCCCCAGTAAATATGCTTTCAAAGAGCACCACTTCAATGAAATCACTTCAAATGTACAGTATACTTGGGCAATGAGTCAACTTCTTTTTATAAGTAGAAACAAAAAGTAACTAAATCGTAGATTTTCTTGCTTGTAATAAATAAAGTAGGTAGAATGGAATCTATGGGGCTGTTTTTTTCCCCTCTGGATGAAAAAAATATCAGAATCTAAAAGATTTGTCACATATTAATGTATCAATAACAAGCATTCTGAGAGTATTGCATAGCAATACATATTCCGCTACCGGTTAAAAAATCATTGTATTGGAACAAAATGCTAACTTGATCTATAACTTGTCATGGTGTAAACTATATAACAAATATCAAGTCAATATCTAAAACTATATACCAATATCAAATCAATATCTTCAAGCATGATGAAAAAAAGTGTGGAAATCTGATTATTTAAGTGAATTTTCGAAGTCCAAGGACCATAACTCTGCACAAAATAATCAGACCAGAACAAAATTCGAACTTGATCTGTAACTTGTCATGATAAAACTATATAAAAATTATCAAAACAATATCTTCAAGCATGACGAAAAAAACTGAGGAAAACTGATTATTTGAGTGAATTTTCCAAGTCCAAGGACCATAACTCTGCACAAAATCATCAGACCGAAACAATATTCGAACTTGAACTGTAACTTGTCATGATAAAACTATATACCTAATATCAAATCAATATCTTCAAGCACGGAGAAAAAAAGTGTGGAAAACTGATTTGCCAGACTGACGGATGTACACACAGACACACAGACAAACGGACAGAGTGCAAACCTAAAAGTCCCCTTCGACTTCGTTGATAGGGGACTAATAAACTATTTACAAAGATGTGTCTTGCCTGTGTAACCTTATCACAAACATTATCAATTGTTTTCCAATGAAGATGCAAGTAACAAAACCTTAATAAATCTTGCCTTGACAACTATTATGCCAAGTGACATAAAACCAAAAGGGTAGGTATGTTAAGCACAACAAATCAGAATAGGTTTTAAGGAGACCATAAACATCAGAATAGGTTTAAAGGAGACCATAAACAGACAGCTATTTTACCTTACACTTAATATAGTCCTAGAATACTCTAACGTCTGAAAGCCTTTTTTAGGACTTGTTGGGGCAGTGGGACTAACTGAATATAGCTTATAAATATAAACAAGTTCAACGTTAACTATTTATTTTCTATGGATATTCAAACATTTAATAAAAAAAAATCAATGAAAACATGAGTTTTCAATGATAAGAAGTATAATTGATCTATTTAATAATCTGATCAAAATAACATCTCAGTTTGCCACTCACTACTCTACTGTCATCAATATTTCACAAAATTGCATATTGGGTCACATTTCAATGACCCAAAGGAATAACAGTTTTAAACCAATCATATTTAAGCTTCCATTTTTTTAAATAACATTTTTAAAATGGAAACAACCCGATGAATTAATTTTATATCAATTTCGGAATGCATTTCATGCTGGTTTCTGATTGTAGAAAACTTTATGTAATGAATATTCATAACTTAGGGTCATTGAAATGTAAAGGTGAATTTGAGCTGGTGGGATAGTGAAAGTCAAACTTAGATGTTATTTCTAATTAGTTGGTTGGTTTATCTTATTAAAATCAAAAGTGACCTTTCAAATTATAAGCAACCTGCACAATATGTTGTATCTGTGAAGCAACCCATATTCTCTGCCAATCATTTTATCATTTACCTAAAAAATGATCTGATGATAAAAGTGTTTTGAATAATCTATGGACTGCATTTTTTGCACTGATTGAAAAAATGTAAAAATACACAAATTAACACTTATTAAGCAATAATAAATTGTATGAATGAGTAATATCAGATAAGAGAGTAAAAGTAACAATAAAGCGACATTTTAGGTTTTGAAAAATACATTAGCACTCAAAAGGTTTGAACAACATATACTTTTTTTACATAAAATCTAGTTAATAAAATTAAATATTTACATGAAAATAAGTTTGAACAGTCATGGAATAAATACAATTTTAGTCATATTTACATCAAATTCATGAGCTATTTCATTTGCTATAATTTCTATCCAATTAATATATTACCATGCAAACATAAGTAAAAAATTGATGATTTAACAAGTTACTATGCGGCTTCATTCTTGTTCATCAAAATAGTAATGTGCAAACAATCAAAGAATTGTTGCATATTATTATTTACTGCTGTTGTCCTCCCATTTGAGTAAGTTTCAATGTTTATATTACAATTAGTATATTTCAATGTAAATCATTATCAGTAACATTGAAATTGAAACAAAAGGATATGGTGTATCAATTCACGACATAAAATCACTAGACACAAGAAAAGTCCAAAAGCAAAGAAAAAACACTTTCATTGCTGTTCTCCATGTCAAAGTTACAGTGAAGCCTTCAACATAGAGCAAAACAACTCTGAACTCTCTGCAATTTCAAGGTGGGCTATAGCATCAGTTTGATTGAATTTTTTTATTAGATGTTGGTCACATCATAAATTATATCTGGGCAACTGAATCTTACAAATACTGTCATAAGTTGCCAGACTAAATTTTATTTACTCATTTCTCAGAAGGCATATTTACACTTGTATACAAATTTGTCTGCCATTTCTTAATATCACACAAGTTCCCACAAAATTTTGCACCACCATTTAAAGAATTTGACTTCATAATCAAAAAGTGATTTTATCTTGTTTCCTTTTTGTTTCTGTGAGCTACAAATCTGCATTTCTCAGCATACCAAAGGGCAACTAAAACAATAAGTCAAGGAAAGACATACACTACCATGGAAATTCTACATCAGAAGGTTATTCATAGCAAAATCTAGGGTTATTCACAGACAATTCAGCTAAATACCTAAAAATGTAAATATCTCTATCCAATTTAGTAAAAAACAAATCCTCCATTTGCAATTTTGCATTTTAAATCTAGACAGTAATAGCTCTTTAAACAAAATTGAATACTATATGTAAAACATTATAACATGACACAATTGGCTTTTAGTTTTTGTATATCAGGGATGGATACTATGACTAAGTAGCAAATGGCTCTAAAAGTTGGCCCAGGCTACTAAAAATGTGTTTATCAATACAGCCCAATCTAGCTACTGTTGCTTTTGAACAAACTATGGTAGACATGAGCTGTCTTGAGAAACGTAATGCAATTTCACGGGATACCACAGCATGTTAGCAATTGCAGTTAAAACTAATTAGTTCCATCCCTGGTACATCATACAAACTGTCACAAAAAGCTATAAACATCATTTTGTACAAAGCTTAAAAAATATTCAAGACACAAAAAAAAAAACTGTATACAATGACATTGACATGCAACAGTAAGATCAACAGAAAAATGAAACTGATCTGACATTCACTGTTTTTTTAATCATGAGAAATGATATTTCTCAAATGATTCCATTGATAGCTTTTTGACATAAAATAAGCCACTATTCATTATAATGGGTCACAGTAATATAAAATATTCTTCCTCTATCCCCACAGATCTTCTGTCCGTCCAAACTTGAACAGCAGGGAACTGAAAATTTATAAAGATATATGTTAAAATATACTTTAACAAGTACTTATGAGAGAGAAGTGGAGAATACATCAATGAGACAGCAACTAAACAACACAGTAAGAACAAAATCTAAAGGGTGACATACAGTCTTCAGCAATACACAAGGTATATATACAAGGTATCAATCTTTAACTGGCATAATGTACATGAATGTGACCTCCTATTTATAGTATAAAGTAGACTTATTAACTAAAGTTTAAATTTTCAAACAGTTGCTGATATAGAGATTGTGGCAGGCTTCAGTAAAAAATGTCAACTCTCTGAAGTCTAATTTTTGTAAACTAGAGGCTCTAAAGAGCCTGTGTCGCTCACCTTGGTCTATGTGAATATTAAACAAAGGACGCAGATGGATTCATGACAAAATTGTGTTTTGGTGATGGTGATGTGTTTGTACATCTTAATTTACTGAACATTTTTCCTGCTTACAATTATCTCTATCTATAACTAACTTGGCCCAGTAGTTTCAGAGGAGAAGATTTTTGTAAAAGATTACTAAGATTTACGAAAAAATGGTTAAAAATTGACTATAAAGGGCAATAACTCCTAAAGGGGTCAACTGACAATTTCGGTCATGTTGACTTATTTGTAGATCTTACTTTGCCGACATTTATTGTTTTTTACAGTTTATCTCTATCTATAATAATATTCAAGATAATAACCAAAAACAGCAAAATCAACTTAAAATTACCAATTCAGGGGCAGCAACCCAACAACGGGTTGTCCGATTCATCTGAAAATTTCAGGGCAGATAGATCTTGACCTGATAAACAATTTTACTTCATGTCAGATTTGCTTTAAATGCTTTGGTTTTTGAGTTAAAAGCCAAAAACTGAATTTTACCCCTATGTTCTATTTTTAGCCGTGGTGGCCATCTTGGTTGGTTGACCAGGTCACGCCACACATTTTTAAAACTAGATAACCAAATGATGATTGTGGCCAAGTTTGGTTTAATTTGGCCACCGAGTTTCAGAGGAGAAGATTTTTGTAAAAGATTACTAAGATTTACGAAAAATTGTTAAAAATTGACTATAAAGGGCAATAACTCCTAAAGGGGTCAACTGACCATTTCAGTCATGTTGACTTATTTGTTAATCTTACTTTGCTGAACATTATTGCTGTTTACAGTTTATCTCTATCTATAATAATATTCAAGATAATAACCAAAAACAGCAAAATTTCCTTAAAATTACCAATTCAGGGGCAGCAACCCAACAACAGGTTGTTCGATTCATCTGAAAATTTCAGGGCAGATAGATCTTGACCTGATAAACAATTTTACTTCATGTCAGATTTGCTCTAAATGCTTTGGTTTTTGAGTTATAAGCCAAAAACTGAATTTTACCCCTATGTTTTATTTTTAGCTGTGGCGGCCATCTTGGTTGGTTGGCCGGGTCACGCCACACATTTTTTAAACTAGATACCCCAATGATGATTGTGGCCAAGTTTGGTTTAATTTGGCCCAGTTGTTTCAGAGGAGAAGATTTTTGTAAAAGATTACTAAGATTTACGAAAAATGGTTAAAAATTGACTATAAAGGGCAATTACTCCTAAAGGGGTCAACTGACCATTTCGGTTATATTGACTTATTTGTAAATCTTACTTTGCTGAACATTATTGCTGTTTACAGTTTATCTCTATCTATAATAATATTCAAGATAATAACCAAAAACAGCAAAATTTCCTTAAAATTACCAATTCAGGGGCAGCAACCCAATAACGGGTTGTCCGATTCATCTGAAAATTTCAGGGCAGATAGATCTTGACCTGATGAACAATTTTACCCCATGTCAGATTTGCTCTTAATGCTTTGGTTTTTGAGTTATAAGCTAAAAACTGCATTTTACCCCTATGTTCTATTTTTAGCCGTGGCGGCCATCTTGGTTGGTTGACCGGGTCACGCCACACATTTTTAAAACTAGATACCCCAATGATGATTGTGGCCAAGTTTGGTTAAATTTGGCCCAGTAGTTTCAGAGGAGAAGATTTTTGTAAAAGTTTACGGACGACGGACGACGGACGCCGGACGACGGACGACGGACGCAAAGTGATGAGAAAAGCTCACTTGACCTTTCAGGTCAGGTGAGCTAAAAAAGCTACAGTTGTGACCAAAGGGAAATAATTCACAATTTCAAATTGCATATTACGGAACTTTTCACAATTAGAAATTTCAATAATGAATATGTACCCAATTAATAAATTACCTTACATGAATCTTTGAACAAAACAAATTTTTAAAGTGTCTACCGAGTGAATTAACATGTCAAAAAGATTAATTCAATGATTTTAATTGGCATGTAAGCAAGTTTGAATTATTTCCCTTAGCATTCTTAAGTTGATAAGCTGTACTGTAAAGTCAGAAACTATTGCAAGGTTCCTATTAATGCGAATAAAGAGACTTGGTGAGTATATATCCCAATGATAGAAACTTGCATTCTGATAACTGATACATATTATCAGTATGTAGATTTTCCCGAAATCACAATAATTAAACTTGCAGTTTTGTCCATTCTTTAAAAATCGCAATAATAAATGCAGCAAATAGTTTCTGAATTTACAATATATAATTAAATATCTTAACAGTTGGGTAGTATTTCATAAATAAGTCATAAAATTGAGAATGGAAACAGGGAATGTGTCAAAGAGACAACAACCCCACCAAAGAGCAGAAAACAGCCCAAGGTCACCAATGGGTCTTCAACACTGTGAGAAAATCCAGCAACCTGAAGCAGGCTTCGACTGGCCCCTAACCAAAAATTTTTGTTTGTTGTTTTTTATGCTTGATACTGATCTGATGATTTGTTCTTATAGTGACCTGTTACACCATTTTATCCTGCAATGAGCCAACTATTGTTCAAATAACAGGTACACAAATAAATTTTTGCTTTATTTGTACTTGTAAAAATGAAATCTCCTGTTACTCCACTCCCATGTTGAGCAAACGGTAGTGTGAGTATTTATATTTGTGTAACAGTTCATTTTGGGGTCCTTGTTGTGGTCCGCATCTAATCTTTCTGGATTTCTTTGAAAAATTAGAGACAGCTATTTGGATTTTAATAACTTAACCTTAAAGTGCCAGGTGTAAATTACAGGATAACAAGAATGTGTCCATAGTACACGGATGCCCCACTCGCCCTTACATTTTCTATGTTCAGTGGACCGTGAATCTGGGGTCAAAACTCTAATTTGGCATTAAAATTAGAAAGATCATATCATAGGGAACATGTGTACTAAGTTACAAGTTGATTTGACTTCAACTTCATCAAAAACTACCTTGACCAAAAACTTTAACCTGAAGCGAGACAGACAGACGGACGGATGGACGAACGAACGCACAGACCAAAAAACATAAGGCCTCTCTACTATCTTAGGTGGGGCGTAAAAACAATATATGTATATTGTCGGAAAAAATAAAATGTATTTGTAGTTGGCGAGCTCCACATTTTGTCCTGTTTCTAAAGCTCGTACAAATAAATTTGACATTTTCCAACAATGTACATATATTGTATGTCCTAGGTAAGGGGAGGGTTGAGCGCACACAAACATGTTTAACTCAGTAACATTCTGTTAGTGCCAGTCCCAAGGTAGGAGCCTGCAATTTAGTTGTTGTCTTTGGTTGCTGTTTGTCATACAAGTATTTGCTTTTTATTTATTTTTATGTCAAAAATCTGGATGTTGGTTTTCTCATTTGAATTGATTTATATTTGCCATGTCATTGCACTTAATAGCTTATTGCTCATTGCTGAAGGCCTACAAAAAATAACAATAATTGCTACATCCACATTATTTGTCAATTGTTGAAAGCAGCAAGTTTAAAACATGTGCTTCTAGGTGTTTTGTCAGAGTTAAATTGTGTTGTTGTTTTGCTTTTCATTATAAATGTAATGAAGTTGCAACAAATGTAAGGAGACTGGTTCCAAGTTATAATTATTTGGAATTATCTGGCACAAATACTGATACATGCAAATGAATTATTTTGCTGTCTGCCCTTTATATACAAGACAAGAGGTTCCCAAAAGCCTGAATCACGCACCTGGTAAAAAAAGATCATACCAAGTTTTGACTTTTTCCAAGCCATAGCTTTGGATACAATTCGAAAACAAGTTTTTTTTCAATTCTTTTTCTTACCTGAAGAATATCAATGCATTCTGTAGAAATATTGCTACACCTGCCCACTCTGGTTTATCTGAAATTAAACAATGTGTTCATTGATATAAAATTGATGTTTTGAAAATTTTTTATTGTAAATTATCAATTTACAAAGTGATTTAGAAATGAATGTGATTACCAACTTAGGCAACTCCCCAAAATGAAATAAACTAAAAAGTTAAGTTACAAAATTTAAAATGTTGAAATGAAGTTTTAAAAAGTTAGATCTTAACTTATAATTAGTATCATCTACAAAGCAAATTAATATCATTCATTGCCTTAAAAAGTAGTAGGTTCGTGAATGTACCCACATCAGCCCTCAACAACATAAAATTCAATAAAATATGCATCAATTTTCATCAATATTTTGTAAAATAATATGTAAAAATATTTCACAAATACAGAATCTACAAGATCTGATGAATTATATCAGTGTTGATAAAATTATGATATCATTATTCATAATTGTGCACTCTTATGATGAAATTCCTGATTTTGATTTATTTTTTTGCTAAATTTGACACAATTTGCTTTATAAAACATTGGCCCCGTGCATGGACCAACATTATTTCTTGATATAATGAGTATCTCACCGATATTTATCTTTTATAACAAAATTTATTATCTTTGACGGGTGAATGTAACCAACGAACTCCAGAAGGAAATAGACTTAAATATGGATTTTAGCAGGAAATATGGCTAAAAAACTAGCAAACTAAATACATGTATCATAATTATGAGCCTATCAATATTGTCTAAAACAAGCCAGACAGAAAAAAATGTCTTATTTATCTTTAAAAGTCGTATATTTATTTTATTTTATTAAAACTTTATACAAATATAAATATCTAAATAGGAAACTAAAAAGTCCAATTTTAAGGGTTTAATTCAGGCCTTCCTTTGTGTATTTAAACACATTATACTTACAAAATTATATATATATATATACATGTATATACATTTTGTATATATAACTGATCCACACCAAGATAGATTGAATGTTGATTGTTGCTATTTTTAGACACTATATATATATGTTATGTTTATAATGTTAAAACAGTTTTTTCTTTGTATGTATACTTGATTATTGTTTTTTTTTTGTTATCTAAAATAGTGTATTACATGTAATATTATGCTCTTTGTGAGTCCATTAAATGGAAAATAAATACATCTTCTTTTTCTGTACCGAGATAAAAATAAACAAACCACAAGACCAATACCATGCCTGGACATGCATCACTGAATGCAATACACTATTTTTATATCACCGACTTTTGACTACGGAGTTTTTTTCGACAGGTTACCTTCTCTGTAGCAGAACATCCTGGTACTCTGTCAAGTAAGAGCAACTTAAAGCAGTAAAATCAAGCTTACAATCGATTATATGTTTTATTTTACTTCTTTTGGTTGCTCCTACTTTTTTAACCAGGTACCAGGATGTCCTACCACAGAGTAGGTAACCTGTCGAAAAATTATAAAATCAGGAGTCAAAAGTTGTTATTATGAAAATAGTCTATTAATTGAGGTAACATGCATACTGAAGCATAACTGATCTTTCCCTAAAATCATTAAGGCCAAGAAAAGTTTGACAAAAATTTACCTTGTACAATGAGTGTTGTTAAATTTTAAACCATCGGCAAACAGGAAATGGATTCATGCATGTCAAGGCAGATCTAATAATTGCTTTTACACTACAACTCAACATTATCAAGCTGCAGACTAAACTTAAATCAATCCGCTTCAAAGAAGCCAATAAAAGTCTTGAAGAAAATTTTCCATGTACAATGATTGTTGTAAAATCTCAAACTATCGGAAAACAGGAAGTGGCTGCATGGCAGATGTAAAAATTCCTTACACACTTCAACTCCACATTATCAAGCTACATACCAAAAATAAAATCATTTCCTTCAATGTAGGCCAAACAAAAGTTTGACGAAAATTTCCTTTTACAATAAGTATAATTTCAAACAATCGCCTCACATGAATTGGCTGTATGGCTGATGTAAAAATTGATTACACACATCAACTCAACATTACCAAGCTGCAGACCAAATTTAAATCATTCTCTACCAAAGAAGCCAGGACAAGTTTGGAGAAAAGTTTCCTTGTACAATCATTGTTGTAAAATTTCAAACTATTGGCAAACAGGAAGTGGCTGCAAGGTCGTTTCTAAGGTCAGAAAGACAGACAGACTAAGTTGAATTGTTACTAGACAGAATCTTGTCACTTAAAAATCACTGACCTCTTTCAGGTATTTAAATAAAGAATGGATATAGATATGGTTGAAATATTTTATTCATTTGTATACATGGAATGAAGCAATAAAATATGTGCTAAAAAAGTTTGTTATAGTTTGCTTCAGCCAATAGATAATAGTAGCTTTGTATATACTTACAGTCATCAGGTGCAGTTGTGATAGTACTATTCCTATTCATATCTTATTAAAAATCAAAAACTAAAGTGAACATAGGATTGAAGAAAACGCTTTTTAATCATGCTAATAGTACTTATTACTTATAGCTTTTACGTAGGAATCATGGTACATTGTACATTTTTTGTCAACTACCTAAAGTTGATGAACATCCATCATTATTAAAGGTCCGGATCATTACTAGGATAAAACAATGAACAGAAGAATTTACTTTCATGTCAAAACCCATTTCTATCATGATACAGGATGTTGACTTTTTAATAAAATCTTAACAAATGCAAATTTATATGGAAATCCATGTTTATTTTTATTCAATAAACAAAAGTTTCTTCATGTTTTTTTTCATTTTGTTGTCATACTCATATTTTAGAATAACTAATTAAAATATTTAAGTAAAATACAAGAAGAAAAGAAGGAGTATGGTGTTATCATTCATTCATCATAAATACAATAAGTATAAAAATGTGCCAGCATACACCTCAAGGGTTATCTTTTGGACTTTAAACTTTAAGGTTGCATCATTTTCTCACCAATGAGTCTTACAAAAGTACAAACCAACATTGTTCTGACAATTGAAAAATTGAAAAATTTTCATCTAATACTATTTTCAAACCAAATCATATTTTACTTTCAGCATTTTGTTTCAACCCACTTAAGTGTACAGACAAAAATTCAAAAAGAATAACATCTGTTTTAGGGGAAATGGTCTGACCAAAAAGGTCCGTTCAATCACATTCAAAAGTTAAAAATAAGTTGAAAGATAGCTTTATTTTAAATCCCCTAAAGTTTTTAAACATTTTGCCTTGTTCTTTCAAACCCTATTGGCCAGGTGAGCTAAAAAGAACAACATACTGCTTTTTCTGTCACCCAAGCTACTTGTAAACACGAAGCTTGCAATATTTATTGTACATAATTTTCAATAATGTCATATTTTTAATTATTTGTGAATAAATACCTTTGTTATTAACCACATAAAATCCGAACAGGATCCAGGAAGCACCAATCAGTGCTCCAAATCCAAGCAAGAACCCAATAAACAGCCAAACTCTAGCTCCTGTAAAATCAAGGAAAATTGGATCAATCTATATTTACCTTTTGTCCACCTAGAGATTCAATAAAAAATCACTTTTTATTCACTGTGAAACAAGTTGATTTCTCAGTGGTGACTGGAGGTGATATATAGCCATTGTTGTGTATTTTAAAAGTATTAAATATACAGTGAGTCAAGGGTTATTCCATTTTAGACAGTTATCTATTCAAATTTATAGTAAATTCATGAAATTATTGCAAATTACACAAAACATTTACAAGGAAATACATATGAAAGGTAAACCTTTATCTCTATGTCATTTTTTTTTATGGAATTGGGTTGCTGTCTCATTTACATATACCTCACAAAAAGGCTCACATCTTATTTTATTCAAAATTGCCTGGGGTTTTTTGTTCGTTGAAAGAAATTGTTACATGGTAGCTTGATATTCCAAGCTGACAAATCAACCCATGGATGTAATGCTCATAATAACACTGCCAAGGGTAACCATATGAAAAATATTTACCAGTCTGTCCCATACATCCAGTACTGTAGGCATCTCCTCTAATTTGTCCGTTTGATACTGAATTTATCCTGAAAGAAGAAAAATAATTTGTTTGACAAATTTTTATTTCCATTGAACACTTAAATTTGTGGTTTACCTATAAACCTCATCTTTGCTAGCCAAGGGTAGCGATCTGACCGGGTCGTTGCTGAAAGGATTGTTACTCTTGGCTATGGAAGATGCCTAGGCCTAAACCCATGAAATTCCAAAAAAATTTAACCACATAATACAAATAAGGTTAATCCAAGAGAGTTTTAAATCTGTCAAACATACATGTACAGCAATGGGAGTGGGGCACAAAATTTACAACTGCAAGCACTGATCTGTAGTCAGATAATCAAATTAGGTGAAGGACCAGTAAATGACCAGTTCATTGAATTCATATTATGCACTTGCATGACTTGAACAGATATAAAGTTTATATGATTTTTGAAATGAAAGTTTTCAGTAGGGTTCGAGTTGCTGCAGTCTTTATAGTTTTCTATGTTGTGTTTTGTAAACTGTTGTTTGTCTTTTGGTCGTTTTTTTTATTTTTTCATGTCAGTTTATCATGATTATTTTCGACTTATGAGTTTGAATGTCCCTTTTACATATTTTGAAACTTACATGAAAAATGCTATAGTCCCTACAGCACCACATGTGTGAAAGGCTTTCTGCAATTGTGCTTCATCTGGGTAAATTGCTGCAGCATCTATAACTATCCACCATCCAGTAAAAAACTGAAATTAAATTTGAACTATTGACACAACAAAGAGCCCAAAGAGATAAACATCCTAAGTATTGTTTTAAGTTTTAGTGTTTTGATACAACTTTGTTTGAAGCAAACCATTTTTTGCAGGGCCTAATCTAGCCTAGTATTAAAGTTTTCAAATAAAATGAGACAGTTGCACTATCAAGATTTCAGGATTCTATTCATGAGCTGAGTCCAAAAGTAATCATTTTATTACAAAAAGAAAGTAGATTTTTTTACTTAAAGAGTTAGTGCCCTTTGAGCACGTTGAGTAAAAATGACCCTGTCCTGTGTGTGTTTCAGGGTCAGGGGTGATTCACTTCTGGCATGGTCAAACTGTTAGCGACATTAATATATGTTTAAGTTTATGGTAAGCATGGTAAGTACTAAGATTATTTTATCTACATGTCATATTACTGCATTTACTGTAGAACAAATTTATAATATTATTTAGTATGTCAAAAATGTATGTTGGCCTTTTTGTTGCATGTTTTGGGTATTATATATTCGTGGATTTTACAAGTATATATACATGTATGCATGAATCAAACATTTTACAGTTCAACCAATTACAAATTTCATTTAAAAAAAAACAAAGTTTAAAGCTTGTTTGCAGAACTTGTCAAAACCATGAATGATGAAATAAAATAGCTACAAAATAAAACCCCCAATTTTTTAATCAATCATTGCATAATTTTCAATACTTGACATGCTTGATGAGAATTATCCATTTATTTTGATTAAGCTTAAGACACATGCATTCAGGTGCAGAGGTAATTTATTCCAATCAATACATAATAATTACAAATGTTAATTAATAATGATAACAATAATCTTGATTATTATTTTTTTTTTTTTTCCATAAACCGATATTCTTGTTTGAAATAAAATGTATCTTTATCTATATCATGTATATAGAATACAAACTCTCACAATTAATTTCTAAGCTTTGATCATTTAATTTAAAATTTGTCCATTACATTTTGTACATCTAATGCTAAAAAATATCAACAAGCTAAACTACAGGTAATGGGAGTCAATGAATTGACCATGATAGCAACTGGTCAGGTGTTTTATATATATAATAATGCATAACATTGTAAATAAAACAACCTGACGGCTGACCATTTGCTATCATGGTCAATTCATTTGCTCCCATTACCTGTTTTACCAAATCTTTATTGTAGTTTTCTAACATGTATAAGCTTGGCCTATGCAAAAATGAAGGTTTTACTGTCACAAATTGAGTAAACATGTTAATGCAATTTGCAACAGTGAAAACCAAGTTTTACATACATGTACATGATGTAGGTAAATCTTAAAATACAATACAGCCATCTTTATTCTAATTTTTTTTAAAAGTTATAAAAGCAAAGCTTTAAATACAATACTGTCAGGACTGTCATCTCTATTTTACTCAGTGTAAAAACAAACTTATAAAATAAATAAATAAATTCTATCTGTAAAAATTTTTAAACAGAAAATTCTATGTACATGATGTACATGATGTAGGCTACCATATACACTTCAGAACATAATACATTGAACAGCTAGGTTGGGGACAACCACGGCAAATGGGGAATTATTCCCCAAAAGATTAGCAGTCCCTCATTTGAGTAATCATTTGATAGTGCTGAAAAACAAAATATTCTTAACTAGGTCTTTTTACTTAAAACAGCACAATTTTATAGAAAATGAATTTTTAATTTCTTCCAAAGAACTATATTTTTATTTTGGGTTTCTAAAAAGTTATTAGCCTTGAAAATTGTCAATTTTTTGAAGTTTTCATAGGCTTGTAACTTCTCAGTAAATCATGATAGGGCTTTTGGAAATTTCGCTTCATTTTATATGAATATATTCCATTTTAGGTAAAAAGACTCTGACCCAGTTAAGATTTTTTTTAATTTTTAATACAATCAAATGATTACTTAAATGAGGGATTGTTACTCATTTGGGGAATAGTTCCCTATTTGGCGGTTAGTCCCCAACCTGTTGAATACAACAATCTCGAGTTCTTTTTTATGAATGACCCGAGGTCAATTGTTGTTAACGGTGTCATCGAACAATAGGTTCTTACTGTGACGTAATAATGTAACATAAAATAATGCCCCCCATGAAAAATTGTCTGTCAGACATTGTTTCATAATGAAATACTGTCCAGGACAATATTTCATCATGAAATAGTGTCCTTGTCCATGAAATTTTGTCACCTCCTTCTGGACAATATTTCACTATGAAATACTGTCCATGACAATATTTTACTGTGAAATACTGTCCATAAAAATATTTCCTAATCTAATTATATCTTCCCTGAGGAATTCTCTGCCATAAAATTGTAAGCGTTTCTGAAATTTTAAAAATATTTTTCATGAAAATTATGTGTATATAAACCGTATATTGTTGCAGAAATTGATTATCAAGATTATGCAGGTTTGTTTGTAAATTATTATCAATCAAATAAAACACTTGTCTTGATATCATTATCCAAAATAAACATTTATAACCTCCCTTTTGTGAGACAAAATTTCATGACAATCCATCTACATTGTCTATGAAATATTTGTCTCAATATATAACCTTGGATAACCTCCCTTTAACAAGACAAACTTTCATACTATTCATTTATGAAATATTGTCGGTATATATATTTGGACAAAATTTCATATGGAAATTTGTCCTTCTCTGGACATTATTTCATACATGAAGATAGGGACAAAATTTCATCATACAAAGTCATGAAATATTGTCTTGGGGAAACAATATTTCATAGGACAGTATTTTGATGTCCAATAACATAAACATTGCGCCTATGAAATATATATATTTACAGGAATGTGCACAAATTCAAAAATCGTCTATGTGCATTTCTTAATAAGCAAAATTGACTTGCATGACTTATCTAGATCTTAATTCAAATAAAAATAATAGAAGTATTTACACTTATATGCAAATTTGTCTACCATTACTTACATGACTTAAAATCACAAGTTTCCATAAAATTTGACATCACAATTTAAAAAATTTGACTTCATAGTTTATAAAATTGATTGTTGCTTGACGTCAGAAGGTTTTTATGAGATAGATCTAAGGTCATTAGGAGACAAAACTAAGCTAAATACCAAAAGTGTAAATATGTTTATATGATTATGACGTCTTGAAAGGATATTTCAATTTTTTGCTATGACATGTAGGAAGGCGTCACAGCAAAAAAAATAAAATAACCTTTCAAGACCTCATAATTAATTGGACTAGGGTTATCTCTAATCTTAATCTTATTGTTTATATCATACAAATTTAATGGAGAATACATTTACCAAGCATCCTGATACAATTGAGACTACTAAATTTCTCATTTCTCCTAATTCTATACATTCACATCTTGGGTTGCAGTTATCCAAAAATCCAGACATGACTGAACGGCTAAATAATGAATCGAACAGCACCCAGGAAGTGAAACTAAAAGAAGATTTTCTGACCGGTGACTGATGTGTTTATAAATACGTGGTTGTTCGATGACAAATTCGGCAAATGATTATGACTCAAAGCTGCCAACAATGAAAGTACTAGTTCATAAGTATTTATAAACGAGGAGATCTGTGGAATTCAATCTTATTGTTTTGAAATACTGTAAAATTTCCTCTATATTTCTTTTAGAATTTTGCGCAAAGCTCCCGGAAATGTCAAATGTAGACTAAAAGACAGAAGAGTGACCAAAGGGAAGTAACTGTTCAACGTCCTATGGGGAGATACGAACAACAAGAAGTACAAGACTTTGATCGAGTGTTGTGTTAAATACAAGGCGATTCCAGTTGATGAAGACCACACTTAATAGTTATTTACTTGCCATTGTTTATATTCTCCGGATATCAACGAAGGAAACCAACATAGAGACCAGCTCAGGTCAAACTTTTAGGTATATAAATTTTATATTGATCCATAATTCTCCAACTGGCAACTCAATATTTATTAATTTAAAGGTTTGTGAAAATAATTGGACAACAACGGCTGTACATTTATAAAAATAACTCAGAGTAAAAAAAAATCCTGTTCAGTTGGAAAATTTTTAAGGACTACATGTAGCATCCACTAGAGTAGACAAAAATGGTAGATGTACAAAAGTTAAATTTTGTATTTTTGATTTGATTGATTCTTATTTATACTTTTTTGCGGTCGTATATTGGTATGACGTTGGCGTTGTCGTTGTCCAAAGACACACTGGTTTTCGCACTCTCACTTTAGTTTAAGTGAATAGATCTCTATGAAATTTTACCATAAGGTTCCATATCACAAAAGGAATACTGGGATTGATTTTGGGGGTTATGGTACCAACAGTAAAGGAATTAGGGGCCAAAAAGGGGCCAAAAATAAGCATTTTTGTAACTTCCAGACATAACTTGTGTGTTAGTGTATGGATCTCGCTGACATTGTACCACAAGGTTCCATATCACAAAAGGAATACTGGGATTGATTTTGGGGGTAATTGCCTCAAAATTTTAGGAATTAGGGGCCAAAAAAGGGACAAAAAACAAGCATTTTTCTAGTTTGTAAGTTCATGACAAAAACTTGTGAGTAAGTGTATGGATCTTTCTGAAATTGTACTACAAGGTTTCATATCACAAAAGGAAAGCTGGAATTGAGTTTGGGGGTAATTGCCCAAAAGGTTTAGGAAAAAGGGGCCAAAAATAAGCATTTTTCTAGTTTCCAGACAATAACTTGTGTTCAAGTGTATGGATCTCTCTGAAATTGTACTGGAAGGTACCATATCACAAATGGAAGGCTGGGATTGATTTTTGGGGTAATTGCTTCAAAATTTTATGAATTAGGGGCAAAAAAGGAGCAAAAAACAAGCATTTTTCTAGTTTCAGGACAATAACTTGTGTGTAAGTGTATGGATCTTTATGAAATTGTACTACAAGGTTCCATATCACAAAGGGAAAGCTGGGTTTGAGTTTTGGGGTAATTGCTTTATGATTTTTATAGGATGCAAATAAATTCCCACTCTCAGGCAGTGTCTTGAGTATACATTGTTATTTGATTGTACATTATATATGTAGTTATAAGAAGATGTGGTATGAGTGCCAATGAGACAACTCTCCATCCAAGTCAAAATTTTTAAAAGTAAACCAATATAGCACATGTATAGCCTATTCATTTAAATCTTCCTAATAATAATATAAATAATAATAATGATTTATATATATTTCGTAGGTATCTTTCAGACTTTTTTTCCCAAGTTCATATTGGGAATAGAAAAAATACTAACAACATAATCAATATCATGAATATATATGTAACACTCAGAAACGTGTCCATCCCCCCAAACGTGTCCGATTCCCCCAAAAGTGTCCATGTGAGGTCACTGAACTGCAAAACATGTTTAGGTGCTAAAGGGCGCCAAAACGTGTCATTTTTAAGAAGCCCAAACATGTCCATTTTTTTAAGAACGCCCAAACGTGTCCATATAAAACCTAAACGCTCAATTTAATTAAGTTAATTTTTGGCCTTCAACATGTTCAAGTACAACAATAAAATGTCCACCAATATTAAATATATAATTTTGTTATTGTTCTTCTATTGATGTATTCTCCTTTTAATTTACTCTTTCATCTATTATCCTACCTCCAAGTGTGACTGGAGAACAGAAATATGGTTAATAAGGTCTTCTTCCAATTTCTTCCTATTTATTGTTAATATGTTCTAGTCTTGTATATGCATGAAATATTTGCCACTGGATGTTTAGCAATCATCAATCAATCAATTTATTATCTTAGATATGCATGAAATAATTGCCACAAGCAACAATAAGTTAACCTTTTACTTTTTCCTAGTCGATTATTACCTCTTTCACAATTGATTTAACTTAATGTGACAGTTAAAATGGATGATGCACATTCAAAATTACTTACATTTAATATTGGAATTTAGGAATACAGTTTTTACCGTATTTTAACGATACCTTTAGGTAATAACGGTTATGAATTATAAGGTTGGTATCAGGGATGCTAATGATACATGCAAATTTATTCCTCTTGTTTATGTTTCTTTTATTATTATAATTAGTCATGTTCATGATGTTAGTGATGCTCGAAACCAAAAACTTAATACCAGTACATACTTTGAAGAGCTGATAAAAAAAAATCAGTGTAATATTCTCAAACATCATTAATATTCATGTTGTTAGACATCACTGGAGTATATTGGTACAAAAGAATTCACCTAGTAAACATGGTAAATGATGAATTTAACTGTACAAAACTAATAAATTGCAATTTGTTTATGTTCGTTCTAAATATGCATGAAATATTTGTCATTGGACATTAAGCAATCAACAGTAAAGAGTTAATTTATATGTTGCAAATCAAACTTGCAATTATGCTAAGTATGAACAACCAGCGTTGAACAAATAAGTGCTAATAAATTTTGGATGTTCTTCTTTCGACTCTGTTCCTTTTTTAATTTCCGGTAATTGTGCTAAAAAAACTTCAGCATTTATGTCCTTTGAATGCAGCTTTAATCTTTTTTTAGGATCCTAACATCTTCAATAGTAAAATTGAATTGCTGCAAAAGAGGGACGAAAGATACAAGAGGGACGGTCAAACTCATAGATCGAAAACAAACTGACAACGCCATGGCCAAAAATAAAAAGACAAACAGACAAATAATAGTACAGATGACACAACATAGAAAACTAAAGACTAAGCAACACGAACCCCACCAAAAATTGGGTGTAAATGTTATTGACGACACTGAGGACATAATAGGGCTAAAAGTTTTGAGACGTCAGGCGTTTTAAAGTAGACACGTTTTGGCAAATAACAATTATCGGACACACTTGGGGGATGTGAAATCAGACACGTTTGGGCAAAATAGACACGTTTGGGGGAATCGTACACATTTGGGAGTGTTACATATATAATATCCCAGGTGCTTATAAACAATGTCCTTTGAGCTCTATATATGGAATGAATTAAGGGAGCTACCATTTGATGGGGGGGGGGGGGGGGGGGGGGCTAGGATGAAATTTGAAAAAAGGCAGGACAGGAGTTTTGAGTAAAAAAAAAAGGCAGGATGACAATTTATGTAAAAAAAGGCAGGATAAACTAATAAAAAAAAGGCAGGACTGAATAGAGTGAAAAATAAAAAGGCAGGACAGAGATTACAACTAAAAAAAAAATGCAGGACAACATTTTTCATCCTAGCCCCCCATAAAAATCAAATGGTAGCTCCCTAATCTTACAAATATATATAAAGAAATTATTTTTAAAAATTTCTCTTGTATACAGATCACTAACATGTTAAACCCGCCACATCATGCATGTTATGTATGTGCCTGTCCCAATTCAGGTGCCTGTGATTGGTTGTTGTTTCTCATATTATTTTTCATGAACATGACAAATGATGTATTGTTATTTATTTTTTATTGACATAAATCAGGCTTAAGTTGGCTTTGTTGTTTAGATTGTTTGACATTTTGTCATTTCTGGACCTTTTATAGCTTACTACAATGTATAATGTGTGTTTGTTTAATCTACATTTGCTTGAGGTATAGGGGGGCCCAGGAAGGTTGAAATCTCACTAACCATTTTTAACCCCGCCGCATTTTTGTGCCGGTCCCAAGTCAGGAGCCTCTGGCCTTTGTTAGTCTTGTATGTTTTTTTAATTTTAGTTCATTTATATATTTAGGAGTTTAATATGACGTCCATTTTCACTGAACTAGTACACATTTTTGTTTAGGGGCCAGCTGAAGTCCACCTCCGGGTGCAGGATTTTCTCGTGTTGAAGACCCATTGGTGGCCTTCAGCTGTTTTTTACTCTTTGGTCGGGTTGTTGTCTCTTTGACACATTCCCCATTTCCATTCTCTATTTTACTGTACCAAGTCAGGAATATGACAGTTGTTATCCGTTCGTTTGATGTGTTTGTTTTTTTTTATTTTGCCATTTGATTGGGGACTTTCCTTTTTTAATTTTCCTCAGAGTTCAGTATTTTTGTGATTTTACTTTTTTAGTACATATTTATTTATTGCTTATATTATTTTTATTAATCTTAATTTATTCATAGGTAAAAAATGACCGATGCACAACAAAGACGACAAAAAGAAGCAAGAGAACATATAAGCAAGGCAGAAAAATGTTTGAAGACATCATTTATGAAATGGACTCCAGATTTGGACGGAGCCGCTTCCGAGTATACTCAAGCAGCTACTTGTTATAGAAATGCCAAGATGTTAACAGAGGCTAAACAAGCATACATTAAAACAGCAGAAGTACAGTGCAAAATGAATTCACCATTTCATGCGGGAAAATCATATGAACAAGCAGGACTCATTGCTAAAGAGAACAAGGAGATTGAAGATTGTGTCAATATGCTAACCAAGGCAGCTAGATTGTTCCAAGAGAATGGCACTCCTGATACAGCGGCATTAACTTTAGAGAAAGCAGCGAAATCTGTAGAACTTTCTCATCCGGTTAAAGCGGCAGAATTGTACAGAAATGCTTGTGAAATTTCCGAGCTTGAAGATAACCCAAGAAGATGTGCTGAATTCATTGGGAAATCAGCATTATTATTAATAAAGGAACAAAGGTATGACGAAGCGTTGGAGGCTTTGAAGAAAGAAATTGACTTCCATGCTCAGAGTGAGAACTTTCCAAAGATTAACAGATGTATGGTTGGTGTAGTTCTAGTTTATTTGTATAATGGGGATCCAGTTGAAGCAGGGAAATTCTTCCAACAGTCAATGAGCCATGGTACACTTGGAGCTTCAGAGGAAGCTGGGATTATTGATGAACTATTGTCTGCTTATAATGATGGGGATGAGGAAAGTGCTGTAGAGGTTTTAACCAGACCTTACATCAAATTTATGGATAATGCTTTTGCAAAATTAGCCAAGTCTATGGTTATACCTGGGGGCATAGGAAAGAAGACAGGTGGTGGTAAACCAGTCTCAGAGACTGAAGGAAAGTCAAGGGTTCAAATAGATGATGATGAGGATTTTGATGGAGGACTAACGTGATAAAGTCTTAAAATGATTAATTACAAATGTATCACAATTATCAATGTGCAATGCGTTTCCAATACAAATTTGAAAATTAATTTATACTGTGATTATTATGTTTTTTTTAATGGTAACTTTCTTTGTTATTTTCTATTTATTCACATTGGTTGATTTTAATTTTTAATTTTAATATATTATCTTATAAGAAAATGGTATATCTGTAGATATTTGTACTTATGCAAAATGTAATAGGATAGTCATATATACATGTGTATGTTTGTTTTGTACTTCAGGGTCTTCTTGGTCTGGTCCTAGATTTTCTACGGTTTTTAGATAAGTTAAATTCATTTTGCCATAACAGACAGAAATAGAAACAGGAATTATGCATTCCAATTAAAGACTGAAGAAAATAAAAATAAGTTAATATTATGCACATGTTTTAAATTAATAACAGATTTTGATATCCTTTTTCAAATTTATCTCACATTACATGTAGTTCATTCATGAAGTTGGATGGTTCAGATAAATGTAACAATGTTGTTATATTGTCTATATTGACCAAATAAAAAAGATAGATCATAAACAATGTATTCATGATACAAATTTTAAAAGTATTCCTTCATGTTAATACTTTAGTAATGGATTTTCTGTGTTTACTGTAAAGTTGTCGAAAGGATATTGAACATGTTGAACCCTCTTTAAAAAGACTCAATGATCATGATGATTTTGATAGATGCAGATAATTTTATTTACAAAATCAAGGTTCCCAAATGAAGAACATATTAACCCTGTTTATTATATGCATTGTGTATGATGCGATTAATTATAAAACAAAGGCAATAGACAAATAGGACAATAATGGTTCATTAAAATAATAACTGTATTGATCTGTTGATTGTATAAAACTGTTAAACTATCATGAATAAAAATGTCAATATCACATCGTCATGTAAGAAAAAAAAAAAAAAAATGACATCCAGCTGGATTTAGACAAAGAGAGACAACTCCATCATTTCAACTCAGTTATATTATGAATCACAATTTTCTGTTAATCTGATATCATATATTAAAATATAATCACATCCTTTCAGATTAGGAATGTTAATTCTGATACCTCATGTAGGGAGAATGACATGCTCTTTGCACGTTAAAAAAACCCTCGCAACAACTCTCTCAGGGGTCTGCAGGGGGCCTTTTGCTTTGCAAAATTTCAGCACATATCCAGCTTATCCTCATTTCAAGTGGAAATCCTTCATGTATCCCAGTTGGCCTACCTTACAGAATCTCTATATTGTATAGATTTGCTCTCGTCCTAAATATGCATACACATTTTTGTTTAGGGGCCAGCTGAAGGACGCCTCCGGGTGCGGGAGTTTCTCGCTGCATTGAAGACCCATTGGTGGCCTTCAGCTGTTGTCTGCTCTATGGTCGGGTTGTTGTCTCTTTGACACATTCCCCATTTCCATTCTCAATTTTATGAAATAATAATCATAGAATGTTAAACAAACAACAATCATTCAATCAGTCTGAAGAATGCTAATACTGAAACTGTTAAATTATTCAGATCCTTTGCTATCTACAGTTTAAAAGAATCTACAGTCTGATAAAATGATTTTCATAATAATTCTACTGATTCTTAACACAACTAATTACTTACTTTTCTAAGAGAATGATCATTTGATATATTCTTGGGAGGGGGGGGGGGGATTTTTTGCTAATAGACTATTTATTTTTAGCTCACCTGGCCTGAAAGGCCAAGTGAGGTTTTCTCATCACTTGGTGTCCGTCGTCCGTCGTCGTCCGTTAACATTTACAAAAATCTTCTGAAACTACAAGGCAAAATTTAACCAAACTTGGCCACAATCATTATTGGGGTATCTAGTTTAAAAAATGTGCCAACCAACATGGCCGCCATGGCTAAAAATAGAACATAGGGGTAAAATGCAGTTTTTGGCTTTTTTCAGACGAATCAGACAACCTGTTGTTGGGTTACTGCCCCTGAATTGGTAATTTTAAGAAAATTTTGTAGTTTTTATACAACTGCAAAAAAAATTTGTGGTGGTATATTGGTATGACGTTGGCGTTGTCGTCGTCTTCCGAAGACACATTGGTTTTCGCACTCTAACTTTAGTTTAAGTGAATGGATCTCTATGAAATTTTACAATAAGGTTCAATACCACAAAAGGAAGGTTGGGATTGCTTTTGGGGGTTATGGTAATAACAGTTAAGGAATTAGGGGCCAAAAAGGGGCCAAAAATAAGCATTTTTGTAACTTCCTGACATAACTTGTGTGTTAGTGTATGGATCTCTCTGACATTGTACCACAAGATTCCATATCACAAAGGGAATGCTAAGATTGTTTTTGGGGGTAATTGCCTCAAAATTTTAGGAATTAGGGGCAAAAAAAGGGGCAAAAAACAAGCATTTTTCTAGTTTCATGACAATAACTTGTGTGTAAGTCTATGGATCTTTCTGAAATTGTATTACAAGGTTCCATATCACAAAGGTAAAGCTGGAATTGAGTTTGGGGGTAATTGCCCAAAACGTTTAGGAATAAGGGGCCAAAAAGGGGCCAAAAATAAGCATTTTTCTAGTTTCCAGACAATAACTTGTGTTCAAGTGTATGGATCTCTCTGAAATTGTACTGCAAGGTACCATACCAAAAAGGGAAGGCTGGGATTGAGTTTGGGGGAGATGAATCATAAGGGGGTTCAAAAAAATTTTTTTGGGGGGATTTTTTTTTTTCTTTAAAATTTTCCATTTTAAATTGGTTATTTCTGATTTATATATAAAAGCAAATAATAATGATATGGTTTGAATAGGTAAAGTAAAAATTTTTAAGTTCTTAGACCACATTCATTCTGTGTCAGAAACCTACGCTGTGTCAAATATTTACTCACAATCCAAATTTAGTGCTGTATCAAGCTTGAATGTTGTGTCCATACTTGCCCCAACTGTTCAGGGTTTGACCTCTGCAGTCGTATCAAGCTGTGCACAGCGGAGCATTTTATTGGTTACTATCTTGAATATTATTATAGATAGAGATAAACTGCAAAGAGCAATAATGTTCAGCAAAGTACGATCTACAAATAAGTCAAATGACCAAAATTGTCAATTGACCCTTTAAGGAGTTATTGTTCTTTATAGTCAATTTTTAACAATTTTTCGTAAATTTTTGTATTCTTTTACAAAAATCTTCTCACTTAATCTACTGTGCCAAATTTAACCAAACTTGGCCACAATCATCATTAGGGTATCTAGTTTTAAAAATGTGTCCGATGACACCACCTGCCAACCAACATGGCCGACATGGCTAAAAAATAGAACATATGGGGTAAAATGCAGTTTTTGGCTTTTATCTCTGAAACTAAAGCATTAAGAGCAAATCTGAATGGGGTAAAAATGTTAATCAGGTTTAGATCTATCTGCCCTGATATTTTCAGACGAATGAGACAACCCGTTGTTGGGTTGCTGCCCCTGAATTGGTAATTTTAAGGAAATTTTGCAGTTTTTGGTTATCTTGAATATAATTCTAGATAGAGATAAACTGTAAACAGCAATAATGTTCAGCAAAGTACGATCTACAAATAAGTCAAAATGACCAAAATTGTCAATTGATCCCTTAAGGAGTTATTGCCCTTTATAGTCAATTTTTTAACAATTTTTCATAAATTTTTGTAATTTTTTACAAAAATCTTCTCCACTTATTGACTTAATCTACTGGGCCAAATAGAATTAAACTTAATAAAGCAACAATTTTCAATAGGGTATTTTGATTGAAAAATGTATCGATGACCCTGTCATCCAACCAACATGGGTGCCATGGCTAAAAATAGAACATAGGGGTTTACTATAGAAGTCTATGGGAAAATTGTAAAAAAAACAATTTCAAATGGTCACAACTTGAGAACTAATTTAAATAATGATAAGGGGTCAGTAACTGTTGTAAGACTACAATGGGATGATGACCTGCTTTAAATTTAACTACTGGGCCAAATTAAACCAAACTTGGCCTCAATCATTATTATGGTATCTAATACTATTTATTATGATTTTAACCTTATTTTACATGATTTCCAAAACCACAGTAGATACAGGTGAGCGACACAGGCTCTTGAGAGACTCTAGTTTACAGTTGCTACACATGCTTATTTTTCGCATGCTTATTTTGTTTTCGAGGCTCTACTGCCTGTGAATTTGTTTTCACTCTTTTACATATCTGTTTGTTGCATTTTGTGTTGTAGAACATTCACTTTCATCCTGTTTTATTCAAGATTATTTATTTTCAGCTCTTACAAGGCCAGGACATTCATTTCTATACGACAGCGAATTTTTTGCGGCCGTATAATGGTATGACGTTGTCGTTGTTTGGGACGTCGTCTGAATACATTTGGTTTCCAGACAATAAATGAAATTGTACCACAAGGTTCAATACCCGAAAGAAAGCTTAGGATTGATTTTTGGAGGTTATTGGGTTAACTGTGTAGGAAACAGGGGCCAAAAACAAGCTTTTTTCTTGTTTCAGGACAATAACTTGTGTATAAGTATACGGATCTCTATGAAATTTTACCACAAGGTTCCATATCTCATACCTCAAAAAGAAGGTTGGGATTAAAATGGGGGTTATTGCTCGAACCGTGTAGAAATGAGGGGCCAAAAAACAAGGATTTTCTGGTTTCCTGACAATTACTTGAGTATAAGTATATGGATCTCTATGAAATTGTACCACAAGGTTCCATACCTCAAAAAGAAGGTTGGGATTAAAATGGGGGTTATTGCTCAAACCGTATAGAAATGAGGGGCAAAAAAACAAGGATTTGCTGGTTTCCTGACAATTACTTGAGTATAAGTATATGGATCTCTCTGAAATTGTAACAGAAGGTTTCATACCAAGAAAGGAAGGTTGGGATTGATTTTGGGGGTTATGAACCTAATGGTTTGGAAAAAGGGGCCAAAAACAATACTGATGTAATACTTTGTATAAATTGCTTATTTCTTGACCAATTTCAATGGGGTTTAATTCAGAGTCTTGAATTCTTGGGGTTCTTTAGTATGCTGAA